GTTCTCCTTCAAGGTTTACACCAGCGCCGCCGCCCTCCTCCCTCATTTTCACACCACCGTCATTATCCACTCCCTCAACCACCGATCACAACCGCCGCCTAGGGTTCTGCCGTCAAACCTCCCCAAAAACTCATATTGTCGCCTCCTACACACCACACCACCCCTTGTCGGCGGAAAACAAATCACTTTATCATATATGTATGGATATGTGGGTCTGTGTTTGTGTGTTTTGTATGTGTGTGTGAAATATTGTCTCTCTCTCTCCACCTCTCTTTCTCTCTTGTGTTTTTTTTTCTTTAGATATGTCTCTTGTGATTTTGTATGTGGGTATGTAGATCTGTCTCTTGTGAGTTTTTTTTCTTTGTAAATGTCTCTTGTGATTTTTAGATCTTTGGATCTCTTGTGACTTTGTATGTGGGTCTGTGTGTGTGTCTGAAATGTATGTGTGTGTGTGTGTTTTGTATATGTGCGTGTGTGTGTGAAATATTGTTTTGTATGTGTGTGTTTTATTTCTGTATTTTTTTATTTTTTTTTTCAGATATGTATTACAGTTTTAGATTTGAACAACAACACTAATATGACTATAGTCATATTCGAATATGATTATTGTAGAATATGACTGTAGTTATATTCGAATATGTTCCATTTTATCGTTTCATGTTGACTTGTAATAACAAGATTCAAATTGTGATTTTTTGTGTGGATGTTGATTGGATTGTTTTCGTAAATAATAGACAGTCTTCGTTGTCGTCTTTTTTTTTTTTTTTTTTCCAGATAGAACAGTAGCACTAACATGACTATAGCCATATTTGAATATGACTGTAGTCATATTCGAATATATTTTATCTTATCGTTTCAAGTTGACTTGTAATAACAAGATTTAAATTGTGATTTTTTGTTTGGATATTGATTGGATTGTACCACACTATATAATTGGATTTTTTTAAGTTTAAAAATGTAAAAAACTGCAATATAAAGAAAGAATATGACTACAATTGAAATAGTCACATATAGTCATATTTCGGCGTAGTAAATTTGTTGAGAAAAAAAATTCAATTTTTTTTGCTTAAAAAAAATTACTAAAAAATATTAAACAATAAAAATAAAAAAGTAAATAAATCAAAAAATAAAAAAGTGCTGATATCCGAAATAATAAAAAATAAAAAATAAAAAAATCAATTTTTTTTTTTATTTGGTTGCAGATTTTTAGGAATTAGGAAAAAAAAAGAAGGAATAATTGGGACAAAATGTGCTAATTGATATAAGGGTAGTATTGGGAATAAAATCTCTAGGGGTTATCACAAAGAAAGATTTAAGGGCTGGACATATCACCATTAATTAGCGATATGAGGAGCTTATCGCTAATGACCCCATAAAAAAAATTAGGGTTTGCAGGTGAGAGTTTATGGAAAGATGTGGGAAGCGATTTTTTATGGATATAATCACACATGATTGTAGGGATCTCAAATTTCCGAATTTTGTGTGTGTGTCTTCTAGAAGGCTATTTTCGGAAATCATTAAAATAGTGTATTTTCTACTAATATTAAAAATATGGCTGAATCCCCTTATTAATAAAACACTGAAGGGGGTTATGGCTAATAGTCCCATTGCTTAAATCCTCAGTTGTTAGATATATTAGGTACAATTTTAAGTTTATTCTAAATTTAGATTCCACCATGAAACACGTATGTATATTGATAAGTCTACATTAGTATGGTTTTGATTGTATATTAATGAATTTTATAATTAAATATATAAAGACGAAATTTTATTTATCACTTTATTACCCGAAACAATTTATTTTTCTAATTTTTGTTGTAGACAAATTTGGTAAGAGTATTTTTTGCATGAACCTATTTGTTTTGTTAACAATGTTTATTAGATTAATCACCATTATTTCAAACTTTTATTTAACATAAACCCGATAATTAGCTTATACATTTTTCACCCTTTTCAAACCGCAAGTTTTTAAAAAAAGAGAAAAAAATTGACTTGGACTAGTGCCAAATGAAACTTGAGAGGGTATTTTGGGGATATGATTTAATGAGGGGGTTTATTGAAATGCAAAACAAATTGATGGGTTGATATCTAATATTATTTGATTTGAAGGAGCTGAATCGAAAGTGGGTCGGTGGATCGATAAAACTAGGGGTGGGCATTCGGGTTATTCGGGTTATTCGGGTCGGGTTATTCGGGTTTTTTGCAAAAAAAATATTACCCGAACCCGACCCGAGATAACCGGGTACCCGGCAACCGGGTACCCGGTTATTTCGGGTCGGGTTCGGGTCGGGTTCGGGTTTTGCTATTTTTTTTTTTTTTTTTTTTTTTCATTTTTGAAAAATAAATAGTAACTAAATTTACTTAAGATATATATATATATATATATAT